ATAAAATAAAAATAAAAAATATTTTTTAAAAATTGTATTTATCTATGCGTTTTGCCCACATCTAGGTAAGTGCACCTGCATCATGCAAAGCCCACAGAGGCCAAAAGAATGCGTTGGACCCCGTGGAACTGGAGTTAGATTGTTGTTAGCCACCATGTAGGTGCTGGGAACCAAACCCTGGTCGTCTGCAAAAGCAGCCAGCGCTCTTAACCGCTGAGCACCTCTCCAGCCTTCTTGTCTCAGTGTTTTAAAATCAATGCTAGAGCATCATTAAACGAAAACATGGACTTTCTCCATATCATTTATTTCTGCCGCTTCTTTTCCCTTGATCAAACTTGTCTGATGACTGCATGTCCTCAAGTTCCAAGGCTGGGCTTTGCTCGTTTTTTCTCCATGGCTATCTTCCCAACCTCACCCTTACCTTTATCAGCTCCTTCCTCTCCTTCTCTAACTGGCCGGAAGCTCACTTCCAGCTTCTTTCCTAATGTAAACAAGGAAGGAAAAACCCGGGTTTTTCATATAAATGCTCTTTTAGATGAACACGTTTCAATGTAGTTTTTCATTCAGTTCTGAATTCTACTTTTTATTATTATATCCTCACTGACCTGAGTTATTTATGCCTCTTGGTATTAATGGAGTTGTTAGAGAATGGGCCTTGGTAACACCAACAAGCTAGGCTTGGTCACCTGTCCTCAATAGGCCAATTAAAAACACAAGTGCCAGGCATGGTGGTGCACACCTTTAATCCCAGTACTTGGGAGGCAGAGGTAGGCAGATCTCGAGTTTCAGGTCAGCCTGGACTACACAGGGAGTTCCAGGCCAGCCAGGGGTATATGGTAAGACCCTGCCTTTAAAGAAAAAAAACAATAAATAAGTAGATGATAGAAAGATGGGTGGATGAGTGGGTGGGTGGGTGGGTACGCAGACAGACAAAAAGTGAAAAAGAGATTTATTCGATGTGGCCGCACTGGGAAGAACCAGATAAAAGGGAACCAGTGACCCCTGCTCCCCAAGTCCATCTTCCTGGGTTGCAATGTGAGATTTAGGTTTAAATAGAGGGCAAGGGCCATGCAGGGTTAAGCAGGGCCCATCAGGGTGTGGTCCTGCCATCACTGGCCTGTCATTGTCTGGGCATCTTTCTCCTGAAAGGTTCCAACAAGTCAAGACTGTGAAACCTCTTCTTGAGAGACCCCTTCCTCTCTGGCTGACTCTCTAACCACCTTGGCAGGAATAGAGGCACTCTAAAGGGACACTGCACCTTCTCTTTGGCTATCAGACTAGAAACAATGGTCCCCTAGGAATTTCCCCAAGAATGTCAATTGGGAAATGAAAAGACTTAAAAGCTGGGGTCCTAACCACAAAGCTGTACTTATCTCTTCCCCAGTACTTGACCCAGATCTTTCCACTGGGCCAATTCTCGTAAGTAACAGGAGCTCCGAGAACCAACACAGTTACAAAGGCTTGCTTCCCTGCTCTCCCCAAAGTCCCCAGAAAATCCCCAACAGAGGCATAGAGCCTGTGGTCCTTCAGGAGGAGGAGATGAGCTCAGCAGTAGGGCACAGGCATGCCAAAGGCCCCATATTCAATCCCACCGACCAACACCAAAAAAAAAAAAAAAAAAAAAAAAAAAAAAAAAAAAAGTGGAATATGGAAACCTTACCATTCAGACTACTTTAATTTTCCTGCCTTAATGACTTAAATATTACCCCTATATATACTTAAGAGTCATATGAAGCAATGTTATTTTTTTCAAGCACCAAATAGAATTTTAAAATGTCATTAAGGCTCTTTGGGGCCTTTCCATTGTGGTTTTTTCTTCCTTACTATTCGGAGTCCTCTTCTGGTACCGTTTCCCTCTTTCTGAAAAGCTTCCACTAACAATTCTTTTAAAACAGTTCTGCTGGTGATAAATTGCTGCTTCTCCATTTGAAAAATGTCTGGATTTCACCTTCATTCCTAAAGAATCTCTTCCCCACCACGTATGTGCATGCTATTTCTTGTGACCTTCAAGGCTTCTAGTATGAAATAACCTTCTATTTTGTTCTGTTTTTCAAACAGGGTCTCCCTGTAGCTTCAGCTGGCTTAGAACTCTATGTAGACCAGGCTCACCTCCACCTCACAGAGATCTGCCTGCCTCTGTCTCCCCAGTGCTGGGATTAAAGTCATGCACCACCTTGCCTGGCTCAAATATCCTATTTAAAAATTTTTCATTTAGGGGCTGGAGATACGGTTCAGTGGTTAAAGAGCTGCTCTTGCAGAGGACCCAGGTTCAATTCCCAGCACCCACATGGCAGCTAACAACCGTGAGAAACTATAGTTCCAGGGGATCTGACACTGTCTTTTGACCTCTGTGGGCATTGCACAACATGAGTGCACTTACATGCATGCAGATAATGCAAACGCATTAAAAATCATTTTTAAAATTTCATTTACTTCTGTGTGCGCATGCATGACACACAAGAACACTTGGCAGGAGTGGGCTCTCTTTCCCCGATGTGGGTTCTGGGGATTGAACTCAGGTTGTCAGGCTTCACAGGGTCTCCCTGCAGCTCCAGCTGTCCTGGAACTCACTATGTAGACCAGGCTGGCCTTGAACTCACAGAGATCCGCTTGCCTCTGCCTCCAGAGTGCTGGGATTAAAGGCGTGTGCCACCACGCCCACTGAAATATCCTGTTTTTAATCATGGTATCCCTATGGCTACTCCAATACCCTTATCCTCTGTCTTTAGAAACTTGATTAGGAAATGCATCACTGTAGATCAGCTTGGGACTTTTCTGCAAGGTTTGCTAGGCCTCTAAGTTTTGCCTTTCATCAGTACATTTCAGCTATTTTTAGCAACACACTTCCTTTTCTATTAGATATTTTCTTACTGTCAGGCAGGTCCCTGAAGCTCTGTTCACCTTTTCTTCAGTTTGGTCTTTCCTGCTGGAACTGGGTCCCTCTACTCAGCCATCTTGAAGTCACTTTCTTTGTCATCTATGCTCCTGACCTACTTGCTTTGCTACTGTTTCAGCTCTAAATTTCCATCTGGTTTTATCTACTCCCCCAGGCCCAGGACTGAGGGCTGACAGGGCCTGCTAGGAAGTGCTCTACCACTGAGCCACATCCCTTCACCTTATACTGTGCTGAAGCCTTCTTCCTTCCTATCACGTCCAGAGTATTCACTGTTATCTCAGAAATGTTTCATGGTTCCTACTTTGAAGTCTGTGTCAGGTATCTGTCTGTCTGGTTGACTGTCTTCACCTACACATGCTGATGTAGCAAGTTGTGATTATACTCTGGACAGTTTGAATATATGTGATTTTCTGTGCCTTGTTTTATTAAATAGACTCTTATTTTTTGGTGTTCAGCAGGCCACCAGCCCCACTGGATTTAGGCCACCAGTGCCCACTAGCACATTGTTTGTTTTGACTTAGCAACTTTATAGTACCACTGGCCCAGTCTCCTACATACACCAGAGCAGCCAATGTGTGCCATGGCTGACAGTTCATTTCTCAGTGTACATGCAGCTGCTTAGACTCAGAACCACACGTGTGTAGCCTAGGTGTGACGAGGTCCAAGAAACAACTTTAAGGGGTCATTGTCCTTGGCTCCACCTGCTCCCGTCTTCCTGGATCCTCTGGTTCCTGGGGTCCTCACAGTCTCTCTAGCCCAAGTGCTGGGTTGAGTTACTCTGCTGGAGTGCACGCTTCTAGTGACTGTGGCTACACTCTTATCAGCAGAGGGAGGGAGGTGGAAAGAGCAACAGGGGTTTGTCCTACTCTGTTAGGACCACATATCCCCACTGCAAAGGCTCCCTGTCCTCAGCTGTGATTTTCTTTATAGCTTCCTTTAACAAAAAATGACCTTCTCTTATTATTTCTGCCTCATATACGTCATATACGGGGTTTGGGTTTTTTTCCCCTTGTTTTTGACAGAGTCTCACTATGTAGCCCAGGCTGACCTGCAACACTCTATGTCGACCAGGCTGTCCTTGAGGTAACTCCTGCTTCTACTGTGTGCTGCGGTTACCGTAGTGTACCATCATACTACATAACCTTAAATGTTTCTAAAAATGATCTTCTGGTCAAATTTTCTCTCCCCAATACTACTCTATGGATGGGTACAGATAAATAATAAATGCCTATGCTAGAAAAGCATTAATTTCAATGAAACACATACAGAAAATTAAAAGGTAAAAAGTGTCTATGCCTAACTATTCAGTCATCACAACTTTGTAGCTGAGGCTGACGCTCCTGAACTAGGCTCCTAAGATACTACAGTATTTTCAGGAACTGTAGAAGAGGGGCTGGAGAGATAGCTCAGTGGTTAAGAGGACTGGCAGAGGACCCGGGTTCAGTTCCCAGCATCTACATGGCAGCTAACAACAGTCAGTAACTCCGGTTCCAGGACATCCGACGCCCTCCTCTGGCCTCCACAGGTGCTGTATAGCACTGTAGAAGAGCTTGGTTACAGAAGCACCAGCAGCTAGAATACTTTGGATATTGTTCTTGGGTGCTCTGCAAACACTTAAAACTAGACAACAGCAGACTGTACCACCACAGCTGTCCACACACAGGCTATTATGAGAAAGCTTTTAGAAGACAGAACCAATTACAGTGTGAACATGTTTCAGCTCTAGTGTTCCAATGGAGAAAATCTGAAGACATAAGAGCTGGATGAAAAACCACAGGTGATAATGCTGACACAATGTTAGCCAGGAACACTGAAGTAAAATGGAGAAAGCATCGCTGAAGTTACACATTTACATGCCTCTAAAGGGGCAGGACATCAATCTAAATTGAAATGTCCTGTACCACTGCCTTGACGGATGTTCTGATCTGATGCAAAAAAAAGAAAAATCAGAACCTGGGGATGGGGGGCAGCCCAGTGGCAAACTGTTTTTATCCAGCACACACAAAGATGCCCAAGGTCTGAATTCCATCTCCAGCACTGCACACAAAACAAACAAACCCCAAACACCGCCCCCCACACACAGAGATAAAACTTCATAGTGTACCTGTTTAATTATATAATGAACGGTAATGCAGTATCTGTCTTGACAATTTCAGTCATAAAAATGATGGCATAATGATGGTTAAAGATGCTGTACCTGTAATTGTAAAGCTTATTTATAAAGTGTGAAAAGAGAAAACAATCAAAAAACAGTTTAAAGGAACACAGGACAAGGTACAGTCCGCTGTGAGGAAGGCTTACGTCTAAATCTGATACAGAGCTCTCCATGGAGCCCAACAGTTCTTTCTGTAGCACTGAGCTACGAGTCTGAGAGAGACTGGCTGTGGATCCCACTTCTTGTTTTCAGCTGGGACTGGGCAATGTCAGCAAGTGCACTCTGGATCTTCTCCAGAAGCAAGTCTCCGCGATACACGACATCCTCTAAACAAGTAGCGGCTTCGTGGTTTTCCTCTTCCAGCTTATATAAGCTGGCAGCCTTCGTAAGACACAAATTTTAAAATAATCAGAGATGACATACAATCTAAAGGCATTTATTTTTAGATCAGAACAGCTTTTCAACCACTGTGCTTTATCTTTTAGTAGCAGGAATTCTAAACATTAGACCACTTAATCTTCTGTATTTGTTACTAAGGACTGGATTTTCAATTGGAAACATCTAGGTATGTGAATCTGCCCCACACTGCTTGAGGATAGTATTAATACTCTGTTGCATGGATGTCACCTCCACGCACTGCTCTTTGCTAGGAAAACAAAGGAACACAGGTGATGATGACAAAATTCTCAGTGTGTGCATGCCTTGAACATACCTGACCTCATAGGTTGAAACTGGACAACTACTCAGTACAACCTTCTCTAAGACCATGCTAGCTCCCAAATTGGGTAGGGGATATAGCTCAGGCATACAATACTTGCCTAGCACGTGAGGCCCTGGATTTGACCACTAGAAGCAACAAAAAACCAAAAGTATCTCCCACTTAAATTTATTTAAAACTGACTATCCTAATAACAGATATCAAAACTACCACCTTTAATTCAAAGTCCTCTACTGCTAGTGGTGCGCTCAAAGTAAGAGATTTTTACCTGTAAAGCAGCTGTAGACTCTTCACTAGGTAAGGAATCTATCAAAACATCAATATCTTTTGCTGTTCTTGCAATCAGTGCTGCAAAAAGCTGGGCATATTCTAGAGAAAAGCATCACATCCCTAAGTTAAAGTTTCAGAGACTCTTAAGTTTTCATAAACAGAAATTAAAGTTAATAAACCAGAAAAGCTCATTTAACTTTTGTGTACTATAAATCTAATCATGAAAGTCTAATTTTAGCACACCAATTTTTTTTTTTTTTTTTTTTTTTGAGACAAGGTCTCCCTGTAGCCCCAGCTGGCCTAGATTCGCTATGGAGATCAGGCTGGCCTCAAACTCACAGCGATCCTCCTGCCACTGCCTCCTGAGTACTGGAATTAAAGGCATGCACCACCATGCCCGGTGATACATTTAACATTATTTTAAACTGGGAATTAGCATAACCTATCATCTAGTTATTAGGGCAATATGCTGGCACTTTGAGAAAAGGAATGCATAAATGGGATGCCTTCCTTATTAAGACTGTGCAAGTAAAATTCAGCTAAATTTATAAAGCCCTCCCTAGAGAAGCAGCAATATTCTGGGTGATGTGAACAGAACTATGAGGCATATGAACTGAGTTCATTCACGGGCCAGGGACACGGCTCAGCAGACAAAGGCATTTGCCACCAAGTCTGATGACCTGAGTTCGATCCCTGGAACCCATATAGTAGGAGAACTGACTCCTAAGGTTCCTAAAAGTTGCCCTTTGACCTCCACATCCCCCCTCCACATCCATTAAAGAAATGTAAAAGAAAATCATTTATGACAATACATATATTAATATACCCAAACCATAACAACATTTTTACAAATAAGCTATAAATAAGTTGAGTTCTTCCACATCAGGAAGGAGCGTAAGAAATACTGGTCCAAATAAGAAAGGCTGAGGGCCGTACCTTCTGTTGGGTTAGCCGGCTGGTCTTTATTAATTGCTGTCTGAATGTTACTGAAGGAGGCAGGGGGACCACACTGCTGCAACACCCCAATGGCATTACAGAACTGATCTGCAAGCTTGAGCCAAGGAAAGAAGTCAGGGTTAGAAAAGTCATCAACTGGAAGAGATATGGTAACAATGATTTTCCATAATAATGATCTCTAAGTAAAAGAATAAAACTCATCAGACAAAACAATAATTTTGTATAAAATGAGCCAGTTTTTTTTTTTTTTTTACTAACAATGATTCATTTTCTTTAGTGCTGGAGATCAAACCCAGGACTCTGCACACTAAACATGCATTCACACCAGTGATCTACATTCCAGCCTAGATTAAATATTTTAATCACACAAAGAAACCTCGCTTGGTATCAATCTAGGTGAAATTTGGCACAAATCTAGCTTAAAGAATTAATAAAAGAGGAAGCTGAAGCCTTGACCTTCAGTGGATTGTTTTCTCTGAGTGGTCAGGGATGGAGCTGTCAAGAGCAGGCCAGGGCAGTAAGGCCAGCTGATGCACAAACTGCAACACAGAAACATGACAGACACCGAAAAGGAACGAATGACTCCTCCAAAGGATCACAGCTTCAATAGCTAAATCCAAAGATACGGAGCAGTTGATCTGCTAGACAAAGAATTCAAGTCTAACTGAAAAATGACAGATGACCTCAAAGATGATGCACACGACGAATGGGGAAAATTCAGGACTTGGATAAGAAAGTTAGCGAGACGGATTGAACTTCAGCGATATGACTGACTGCCTAGGCAGGGTGCTGCGTGCCAGTGATCCCCACACTTGGGACTCAGAGGCAAGAGGGCTGCAAGTTCATAGCCAGCCTGGGCTACGTAGCAAGCCTGTCTCTAAAAAAACTAAATAAATGGAAATTAAAAATCTTCACCAGCTTACATCTGTGCATTCACACACACATAAACACACACTAAGGAAAAATTTAAAAATAAAAACAGGGAGATTTGGGGGCTGGAGAGATGGCTCAGTGTTTAAGAGCACTGGCTGTTCTTGCAGAAGACCCAGGTTTGAATCCCAGCACCCACATGGCAGCTAACAACTGTCCTTAACTCCAGTTCCAGGGGCTCCAATGGCCTCTTCTGTCCTCCGCGGGCATTGCATGACACGGGTACACTTACCTACATACACATATACATTTATACACATAAAATAAAAATTTTTTTTTTTTTAAAAGGGAGATTCTTTTTCACCCTGTCAGAATAAGAGCCATTAAAAAACAAATGCTGACAAGGGTGGGTGGAGGGGATCCCACCCATCACACTGCTGGAGGGAACACAAATTTGTGCTGCCAAATCTGTATGAAGATTCTTCAGAAAACGTACAAGAATTACCTTAGGACTCAGCTCTAACACTCATGGACAGACCTAAGAGAATCTAAGTTAGCAAACAGCAGAGACCAGACACTCATGTTTAGTGTTTACTATTCCCAGCAGCCAAGATATGGAGCCAACCAAGCTGCACATCAGCAGGTGGACGGAGAACATGTACCACAGTTGTTTGAACTCAGTCATGAAAAAGAAAAAATTACATCATTTGCAGGAGCTGATGGACCTGGACTCCTGCTGGTGAAACACACCAGGCTAAGTGAGACAAGTATCGCACGTGCTCTCTCACACAAGGACTCTAGATTTTAAATATTTTATTATTATTTTTTTACTTTATGTGTATGAATGTTTTGCCCACATGTATGTTAAGTGCACCAGTGTCATTCAATGCTGGCATTGGATCTCCTGGAACTGGAGTTACAGACGGTTGTTAGCTGCCATGTAGGTGCTGGAGACTGAACCCGGGTCCTCTGCAAGAGCAGCAGCTGAGCCACCTCTCCGGCCCCAAGGACTCTAGAATAAAAAATACTTTTCTATGATCTATCCAGGCAGTAGGGGGACTATTGGGGAGGAAGGAAAGGAACTAGAATGAGGCAGAGGTGGGAGGGAATAAGAGGGATAACGGGAATATGAACATGAACAAATATACCATAGACATCAAAATCCTTACTGAAACCCATTTTTCTACATTTACTGTGTGTAAGCAAGCATGCCATGGCATATGAGTGAGGTCAGAATGCATGCTATGGGAGTCTGTTCTCCCTCCACATGGGTCCCACCCAGACTCAGGGTGTCATGCTTAGTGGCAAGTACCTTTGCCCATTAAACCACAAACCCATTATTTTATATGCTTTTTTTTTGGGGGGGGGGTCGGGTCTTTTTGAGACAGGGTCTCCCTGCAGCCCTAGCTGGTCTGAACTCACTGTGTAGACCAGGCTGGCCTTGAACTCAGAGATATGCCTGCCTCTGCCTCCTGAGTGCTGAGACCAAAGGCATGAGCCACCATGCCCAGCATATGCTTAATTTTTAAGCTTAAAAAAATAGGGGCTAGGAGATGGTTCAGTGGGAAAAGGGCTTGTACATGCATGAGCATCTGAGTTTGGATCCCCTGCACCCACATAAAAAGCCAGATGTGGAAGTGATGGTGTATATCTGTACATCCTAGTGCTGTTGGCACAGACAGGATCTCACTGGCCAACCCTAACCCCAAAAGCTGAGTTCTAGGTTCAGTGAGAGACCCTCCTTTAAAAAACAAAGGTGGTGGCACAATCCTTTAGTCCCAGCACTCAAGAGGCAGAGGTAGGCGGATCTTTGTGAGTTCCAGGCCAGTTGGGGCTACAGGGAGACCCCAGCTCAAAAAAACAAAAAAAAAAGGTGGAGGGTAACACAGGAAGCCTCCCTTGGTTGATCTCTGGCCTCTACACAAGTATGCATAAGTGTGGGCATCTGCACACACCACATGCATAAACTACACACACACACACACACACACACACACACACACACACACTAAGAAAATAAAAAACTTGAAATAGAGTTTAGTTGCTAAAGTATTTGCCTAGAGTGCATAAAGCCCTGGGTTCAATCCACAGCACTGCATGAGCTGGGCATGGCAGCACAGACCTGTAATCCCAGCACTGGGAGGTGGAGGCAGGAGGAGCCAATAAAAAACAAGCAAAGCAATTTTCTTTGTTTCTGCAGATATGGGGATAAGAGATATATATGCCAATACTTTTTTTTGGTCTTCTTGAGACAAGGTCTCCCTGTAGAACTCACTATGGAGAAAAGGCTGGCCTCAATCTCACAGAGATCTGCCTGCCTCTGCCTCCCACGTGCTAGGATCAAAGATATCAAAGATATATACGCCAATACTTATTTCAAGCAACAAATAAAGACTTTTAGGCAGTAGCTGTGGGAGTGGGCAAATCCAGCTAGTAAACAGACCTACTATGTCCCCAGGTTATGTTCAAACTTTATAATGTCTTTTTGGTGAGCAGAGAAGTTACAAGAGAAGTTACAAGACACAGGGAGAGAGCCTGGAGTAGAGCTGGGTGGGCAAGGCATTTGCCTAGCATACATGAAGCCTCGAGTTTGGTCCCCAAAACTGCATAAAAAACTAGAGAAAGAGAAAATGACAGCTAGAAATGTCATTTTAAATCATCATGAAGTATGCCTTAAGTAGTTTGAGAATTTCCTACCATCCCCAAACTAAATTCACCTGTACACCCCACCTGTACACCCCACCAGCTTTTCAGTAGTTCGCATCCTGAAGCCGCGATGACTACTTTCAGTCGGGGAATAAGCACCCCACTGCTCACTGTCACTATCTCAATGATGGTTGTCACTGAAAAGGTAACCTGAATAGTTGTTTCATTTTTAGCAAGTTGGAGCATTCCATTTTATGGCACTGTCATAAGAAATAGGAAACTGGGCTGGAGATGGCTCCGTGGGGCAGGTAAGAGCACTGGCTGCTCTTGCAGAGGACAGGGTTCAGTTCCCAGCCCCCATATGAGGCTGACAACCACCCATAACTCAGTTCCAGGGGATCTGACGCCCTCTCTAGCCTCCAAGGGCTTTGCACCATATGGATGCACCTAACACATGCAGAAAATACACTCATACACATAAAATAAAAATGAAGTTTTTTAAAAAACTAAAGAGAGGCCAGGTGTAGTGGCGCACGCCTTTAATCCCAGCACTCGGGAGGCAGAGGCAGGCAGATTTCCATGAGTTCGAGGTCAGCCTGGTCTACATAGTGAGTTCCAGGACAGTTGGGGCTACAGGGAGACTCAAAAAGACCAAAAAAATAAGTAAATAAAAAATAAATAGAAAAACAAAAATTATTCAATATAGTAGCTCTTTGTTGTGTCTTCAAACACTTTCATGATCCATTGTTTATCTGTTCAAAAAATCTTTATTGAGCCTGGCATGGTGGCGCACACCTGTGGTCCCAGCACTCCGGAGACAGGGGCAGGAGAATCCCTGTGAGTCCAAGGTCAGCCTGGTCTACATAGTGAATTCCAGGCCAGCTGGGGCTACAGGGAGACCCTGACTCAAAAAAAACAAAAAACCCAAAAATTTATTGAAAAACCAATCCCACGATAAGGAGTGCATGTCAACATTGGAGATGAGTGGGACATAGCTTCCAGAGTCCTAGAGTTTGCAACCATTTGCAACAAATGTTAACAGCACTATCACTCTATGTTTTGATCTACTTAACACTTAACAGCTGGAGACTGCTCACTGGGACTCCCTGACCACGTGCGGGTTTGGGCACCAAAATGTCTCTCTGGCATAAAACACCACAGTAGTTTCTTAGTGCCTCTTTGTAAACAAGCTAGTGTTTATGTACCCAGAAGGCATTCATACTGCCTAACCTAAGGCTTGCTAAACCCTAAGTCTAATTACAGCATTCCTCAGACAGCGGGCGGATCACATTCTTACCATCCCTGTAGCTACAAGACCTGTATGAATACGGACATTTTCTCTAAAATAGTTTCCACACACCATCATTGATTAGATTTGTACTAAAACCTCAAGAGACTGTGTTCCTGGGAGAGGCTGACTGGCAGCCCCGAGACATGACTGCAAAGGAGATAGAATGTACCTCGGTGACTCCACCAACATTCAGGGCTGGCCCCTCTGCAGAAAATCGGCCATTTTATTTACATAGGGTAGACCACAGGAACTCACCCTTCAAGTCCATGTTTTACGGAGAACTGCCAAGTCTGTCTAGCTTTCTGTGAGACACTGGCCACCAGGTGGTGTTTACACACCATCAGAAAGCAGCTTGTCTGCAGGCACTGTACCTCTAACACCACACTACAGCCAGAGTGCACTCAGAACCCAAGTATCCAGGGAAAGCAGGGGCTGCTCAGCTGGTACATGCCAAGAGTGCAGATGCAGCAATTTGCATAGATGAGTGAGACACGGCTGGAGAGACGCTCTGAGGTTAAGAGGACTGGCTGCTCTTACAGAGTACCGGGGTTCAAATCCCAGCACCCACAAGGAGGCTGACAACCATAACAGTTCCAGGGGAATCCAACACCTTTTTCGGACCTCCTCGGGCATTGCACCACACAGGTGCACTTACACACAAGCAAGCAATACACTCATACACATAAAATAAAAATAATAAATAAAATAAACGAATAAGCCGGGTGTGGTGGTGTACACCTTTAATCCCATCACTCTCTGGCCAGCTTGGTCTACATTGGGAGTTCCAGACCAGCTGGGGCTACAGGGAGACCCTGTCTCAAACCAAAACAAGATTTTGTCCAGCATTTATGTAGGGGCTGGAGCTGGCTCAGCAGTTAAGAGCACTGGTTGCTGTCTAGATGACCTGGGTTCGGTCCCAGCACCCACTCGGATCGGACCCCTTCTCTGGCGTCCGCACGCACAGGTGCAGACATACATGAATACAAATGAATTTTAAAAAAAAATAATTTATTGATAATTTCATAGATGCACATAAGGTGTTTTGATGAAATCCATGCCCACTCCCTCCCCTCCAACTCCTCCCGTATCTCCCCATCACTTTTTTTCTGACAACTTCATGTACTGTTTCTTCTTTTTTTGCTACTCTAACATTCCCTGTTCTGAAGAGGTACCCTAAAATCTTTTGAGGATTAGAGAAAAGCTCCCAAATACTTTCGACATTTTGGGCCTTTGGAACAGAGTATGTCGCTAAGAGGCCCAAGGACACTGTGAGTTTTATCCAAGAAACTGGCTACATTTCTTTGGGTCTTTTTTACCCCTAACTGCCTAGCCAATTCCTATCTCCTATTCTTATCACGCCATCCTCTGAAGGGGTTACCCAGCTTGCGGATAGGGGATCGGGGCTCAGACCGCTCTGGCTTCTTCCATGATGAAGAGACCCAGGGTGAGGCAATTGGACAAACAAATGAATTTTAAAGTTTGAAAACGGACACTCGCAGGCTGCAAACAAAAGCGCCTCCGCCGCTGCAGGATCACAAAGGGCGGGGATCCCAGAGCCCCCGGGACAGAGGGTCGGAGGACGCGACCCCGACCCTCCTCGGACCGGCGGCCGGGGCCCCTCGGGAGCCGCTCGGGAAGGGATGAGCCGCTGGGGAAGGGACGAAGCCACAGGTACCCTCTGACCCTGCCCCGCCCCGGCCTCCCTAAGAAGCGGCCCCAGCGAGCCCCGCCCCGGCTCCTCACTCGGCGGGCTCCCCACGGCCGAGCCTCTCCCTCTCTTCACCTGAGGGAAGAGACACAGAATAATGGAACGCAGCGCCTCACCGAGTTTACCGCGTCCTGCAGCTGCGTGAGCCGGTCCGCCATCTTGCTCTCAGACGCGAAGAGCAGCCGCAGCCCCAGGAGCGCGCGATTGGACAATTTGGGACGCTCCCGACCAATCACAGGGCTCCGTTTTGAGGGGCGTGGTCATACAGAGGTCGGCCCCGGAAGGGGTGGGGCTTTCCTGAGGCTCCTTTCCGTGGGCTTCTCGGGACCGCCGCAGGGCGGTGCGCATGCGTCCGTGGGGAGAAGGGGGGGCGGGCCCCCCTGGGGTCGGACCCCCCTAAGCCAGTTGTTCAGTTCTCCGAAGGCTAGGTGGTTCCTCCTGTCCTCTTAGGTTTCATTTATTTATTTATTTATTTATTTATTTATTTATTTATTTATTTATTTATTTATTTATT